AGAGAGAGAGAGAGAGGATTGAGTGTTGAGTTTATATTATAAAAAAAAGGGCAAGTATGAGAGTATAAAAGAAATAGGAACAAATTGGAATGGAAGAAGGCTCGACGAGAGCGATGGCGAATCCGTCACGGTGCGCCGACTGACACGTTTTCGGACGGTTTAAATATACTTATAGCGAAATTAAGAAATGCATATTATTCTGCCGATTAACGAGTAAGTGCGTAGAATTCGTTTAACTGTAGATAAAGAAAAAAAAAAAAACAACGTACACAGTCACGTACGCGCGAGTGCAAGATACATTACCACCTGTAATCGTTCACCCACAACCACCGACCCACCCATATGTACACAGCGTACAAAACACAGGTACAACATATACATAAGTACATACATACATACAGGCGAATACATTGACACTGATACAGAAAACAATTACATTACTTAGACGTCGGAGATAACCCGATGTACGGTTTAAGAGACAAAATAATATTAAAAAAAAAAATAAAAATAAAAATAAAAAAAAAAAGAATAATAATAATCACAAAAAACGAAACGAATGGAAGAGAGAAAGTGAGGAAGCGAGAGAGCGAGAGAAAGGGAGAATTAAAGAAAAAAATTAATGCAAAACACACACACACAAAGGCGCAACACGTACACGCGCACGCACGTTGCAATTAGACGTTATTATCGCAATTTGGAGTTAAATTTTATAATATATAATATATAAAAATATATATATAATAAATAAAAGTTGACGGATAATATAGAGTTATATTAAATATCGAATTAAAAAAAAAAAAAAAAGAAAAAACGAGTGAAAGAGTTATGTTCTTTAGGATGGCGCGGTTCACGCGCTATCGACTTACCTTGTTCACATTAATCCCCCTCTCTCAATTTTCTTAATCCTTTTTAAGCATTTCCTCTTAAGGTTCCTTTCAAGGCAGACTTGTCATTATATCAATTACGTTGTCTTCCTTACAAATTTTATTTTCTCTTTCATTATTTTATTACATTGCTCATTATTTTTTATTATATTTTTATTATATTGTTTCTTTTATTTTTCAGCAAGAATAATAAATTAAATAAATGAGAAGAAAGAAATTTTAAAATGTGAACATTATTTGATAATAATTTTTTATACTTTATTATTTCTTTTTATATTTTTAATTCTATTATTTATTTATTAATCTTAATTAGTAAATTTTTAATGTCTGTTCCTAATCATTTTGAAATAAAAATTTTATTTAGAAAATTTTATAGATTTAAAATACAATTTAATAAAATGAAAAAATTTAACGAAATGAAATTTTCAACATTATTTATAAATTTTACAATAGATTTTATGATCTATATCTATTATATTATATAATAATTCTTACGTTAATTATTATATATCTATACATTTAATATTAATACAAATTTATGAGTTTAAGTTTCAAAAAATCCGCGGTAAGTAGTACATGAAAATCATCAAGGATGGCGTTACAAGTACAAGTGTTAATCGCTACGATGAGTTCATTTGTCAGTCGTCGTACAAAGTGAGAAAATTCACAAAATTTATCATTATTTTATTTATATATTTATATTTTAGTAACATTTTTTTCTTTATTTATTAGAAAAAATTTATAATATATCGTATAATATATCTATTAAATCAAGATATTTACCTTATTTGAGGTTAAGTCAGTACTGTATTATAAAATAGAGATATATGAATCTTTCTGCAGTGTAAAAATAGCAGTAGGAGCTTTAGTATGCGAAGAAAGTATATTAAAAGGGGATATCACTATTGGACCAAAAACTATAATTCATCCAAGAGCAAGTATCATTGCAGAAGCTGGACCGATCATAATAGGTGAAGGAAACATTATAGAAGAAATGGCAACTATAGCAAATAGGTAATTTCAGACATACTTATCAATCATACTCTTTTTTTTTTTTCATATTAAAATAAAATATTTGATCATTTTGTTCTAGGTTACCACCAGATACTCCAGAACCAGCAACAATTCCCGTACAAATAATAGGCAGTTATAATGTATTTGAGACTGATTGTACTTGTGAAGCATTTAAAGTTGGAGATAATAATATTTTAGAAAGCAAAGGTTAATATATATTAATAAAAAAATTATTATTTATATATATATGTGTTTTAAGTACAATTGTACTTTTTGTGTTTATAGCACATGTGGGTCGAGAAATTGAACTGACCAATGGTTGTATTATTGGAGCATCGTGTTCATTAACAGAACCAGATATAATACCTGAAAATACCATAATTTATGGTAATGAGTGTCAACGTAGAGAAATGCACGATAAACCATATGTAAGTTTCTATTGAATTTTAGATTATATCATAAATGACATTTGAAGTATATATAATTTCATATTTTATTATTTACAGCCTCCAATAAGTCAAATAGAATTTTTATTAAAAATCTTACCAAGCTATCATCATATTCGTAAAGCTAATGTAAAGCCAAATAAAAATGAAGGAGGAATATAATTTACTGCATTACTAGGTAAATTATTTATATATATATGATTTAAAAATGCAAAAAATATTTATATTCGGTTTTAAACTTATTCTGCTAAACGTTTATTACATTAAAATTCGTAGATAAAATTTAAAATCTAATTTTTTTTATTTTATTTATATATTATGCTTATTATAGAAGTATTATTATTATATAATAAATTATTAACATTTTGATATCAGATATATAATATATTATTAAATAATCCTCGTTGTAATTTACTCAAAGTAATTGTAAATTACTTAACGTAACAATTGAGAGTATTTATAATTAGCATTATTAGTAAATAATTTCTTATTAATATATTTTTATTACTTACAAATACATTTTTTATATAAAATTTTATAATTGAAATGTTATTATATAATAATATTTCAAGAAAAATTTATATTTATCTAGTACGTAACAAAGAAAAATATAAGAATAATAATAAATGATTTGTGATATTGTATTATATTCACACATATCCTCCAATCTATATTAGTGATAGACATATGAGATAGTTTAATTCCCTGCCCTGTTAACAGATGGCAGAACGATTACCTATTTTGAAATAAATTCTCGATTTTTGTTAGTAACTTCAAATTATCGTCAAAACTTTACTACTTCTACATCGATTTACGTCAATCAAAAGATCATATTTACTTATTCTATGAAATATATCTCGCATGCAAACTAATTACATGAAATTCTTACAAATCAGATTCAATGAGATTTTTAAATACAATTCATTTTATCGTTTTATTATCTCGCCTTAAATAATTAATTAATTTCATAACATTCGCAAATAAGTATAAAAAGTATACTTTTTTTTTTAAAAAGACTGAAAATTGCGAAGGACGTACGAAATATCAATGAATTTATGCGCAATGATAACGCGACAAGTTAATGTAACTTGATGTTTCTCCTTCCCGACGTTCTTCTTCGGGCAAACTCTCCGGAGAATCACAGCGGCACAATACTAAACGCTACACCTATGAATATGAATTAGCGTCTCGTTGAGGGGGTTGGATGCGAACCATTTACCGTTTCCGTCAGCTTAACCGCGTACCACACAGTGGTTCTCATTGCGACACCCATTTAAGCCGTAAATATGCGAAATCGAGTCACTGTATTATTTATCCAAATTAACTTCGTAATCGAGTCGTGGTGAGTGACATTTTATTGCGGCAACATTCAAACAAATCAAACAATTTATTTATTTTACCAAATAAACTCATTTTATTTATTCAACATAGTCAAGTATTCAAAATAAAAGAATGTTGCACATTTAATTAATTAGATTTTACAATTTATGCGATTTATTTTATCGATCTTGTGTCAACAAAGAAGTTTATATAATATTCTGTGTGGAGTGGAAAAGGAATAAAATGTGCATTTGATATTTTTCTTTGAAAAGTGAACGTTCGAACGTTCGTGGAGAATAATAATATTTAAACTAAAAGTTGATCTTCCTGGAAGGATATATGAACGGAAAACGCAGTTAAGAGCACTGTGGTGGTTTCGAGCGCCACTTTATTTTAATGATCGCTCGTCGCAACCCCCTTGAACGCAACTCTTGTCGCGGAAAGTGGTGACCCGAGAGAGCTGTCATATTTTGACGTCCGCAGCGGGCGTTCTAGCCTAGAAGGGAGAGACGAGAAGAAAAGAGATTATTTTTCGTCGCGCTGGGAGAAGCCAGAAATCAGTACGACGACGGGCGACCGGGGGAAAGTCCCTAATGGAGCAACAGCCACGAATTTGTGTGGGTTTCCTTCATCCCCGCTAGAACGAATTCGTCATTGATGACTTTCTTTTTTTTTAGCAATGACTCGAATTTAACTATTATTTGAATCAACAAGAACAATTCGACGATAACAGTAACAAAGGAAATAACTTCACGGATTCAATCTTATGCGAATTTATAATTAAATAAAAGTTTAATTATACGATTCAATCCTTTGCGAAAATAACTCTGCGCAATAGAATTCTTCGTGTAAAAATTTATAAAAATCATGCTTCCTCCCTTAGAGAAAAAAGAAAAAGTTACTTTGAAATTACAATACCCGCTATGAAAAAGTTTTATCGTCGAAGGAACGAGAATCGAGGAAAACGGAATTAAAACGATCCGCCAATAATTCGTGGAATAGTTATCGTATAACGATTTACGCCACCGATAGACAGTCCCTCGAGGACGGTTCTCGATCATCTTTCCATCAACGATGGCGGCGGTCGTCAACGTGTCAAGCAACTCACGGCGCCCTTGCGCTTAAATTGACGTTCGCGGACACGGGAGAACCGCTTTGTCGAGAGACGAACAAGAGTGACGAGCGTTGCGAATCCACGATTCGCTTAACATTTCCATTGTGAACGCGAGCGAAGACTGGAGGGCGAAAAATGTCATGTACGCCGGCGGGATCGCGCGTAGAATTAATTCGATCTCGCCTGGCGGGATAATTTCACGTAATTAACTAGGGAAACGTTGATTCGTCTCGTGATTATCTTCAGCTTATTGCTTGATCAACCTTGTTTAGTCAAAATTTTATTGTCTATCGATTTATAAGTATAATACTATCCCCATAATGCCATGTCACGTGAAAGGTATAAATCATCTTTGGATTATACTTTGACAATTTGTATCGAGTGAAAAAAAACAACTTTTTTCTTAGATACAACACGCGTGTTCTTTAGCCACGCGTAAAAATTTTACTTTATACAACTTGTAATTCATTACTTTGCACATTTCAAAATCGAATTATCTTCTTTTGCGTGGAAATATTACTTATAGAAAGTTAAAATTCAAATTATCATTACTTTATTCAACAAACGATCTCTACGATCTGCACACTATTCCAACTTGTCAAATCGACCAAATTATCCATCACGGTCATAAAATTAATCGACGCGTTTCACCGCTTTCATTCGACGAGGAATCGAAAGACAGATGACTCGACGAATCCTGACGCGATCGAAATCTTCGCGAGTCATGATCGCGGGATGTTGGGATATTCATAACGTGGACGGGTCGTTTAACCCCATTTAGCGATCAAATCGTCGCCCATCGTCGAGAGATCCGTGTCGATGCCGTGTATACGATCGGTGTCGTGTCGTCGGGATCCCGTCGCGCGGCCATCCGACGAGATAAACGATTCAATCGCGACAATGAATAATACTGGAGCGACGGTTAAACGCGGCAGCGGATCGGATCGGGTCCGCCCACGAGGCCGTCCGGGGGGAAACCACCCGTAAAATCCAAAAGGGGTGCAGTGGAGCGGGAGAGGCAGGGGGCGCCAGGCGACTCTGTGACGCGATTATGCTAACGAAGTTATTCCATTGTAACGCTGTTTACAACGGCGCGCATTAAGGCTACACCGGAACAATAGAGGCCCCCTGCCCCCCTAAACCCTCTCCTCCTTGTACACGAGTCGGGGAATCCTCGGGAATCGCGCGGCCATTGTACGCCCTGCTCGAGTAGGAAAGCATCGCCGATCCTCGATGGTTGATGGAGCGGTGAAAAAAAATTTGGAGAGCGCCAGTTCTGGTAATAATAGGCGGTTGAGGGTGAAAAATAGGTTTTTGATGAGTTTCCCTCTCGTTTTCTTTTTCTTCTTTTGGAAGAAAAGATTGTTCGAAGTCTGGTTTTGAAAAATAGTGACTTCTGGGTATCTTTGGGATAGTGTTTTGAACAGTGGTTTGGGAAAATATTCTCAACGCAAGGTTGCCAAAACCATCGAAACACGACGAATACAAGAAGAATGGGAAGAAGGGGCTCTGACTACGTCAGAGTTTGGTTACACCCTATCGGGGACGCCACTTGACTCGTATTTAACTTTCAAATATATTTTATGCCCTTTGCATTTTAATACTTTCATGAATTCGCTATTCCTACACCCTTCTCTCTACTCTGCGTATGCATTTTCGTTTCGATAAAGGGATCTCGTGTTACAAACCGCCCTTACACGCGCCAACACCGAGAAATTCGCGTATTGATCGAAAATTTCATAATCATTTTTGATCTTGTATCATTTGTTGTACATGTTTTCTTCACGCGCGCACACTGTTCATAACTCATCATCGAATAACAACGATGATATTTTCCTTTGTAAAAAAAACTCAAGAACGAAAGCGCGCTAAGCTAACAGATTCTTCATCCACTGTGAAAATATCGTTAAAATTCGATTTCTGATCCCGATAACAGAGAGACAAAGAGATCAGCGTGGGCGATTCTCGAGAGAGGCAAGAAACTCATGCCCGAACGAGCACGGCATTTATGTGTCCATCGAAGCGTGGCGACACTTCGACGGGATTATTTGTAGGATTCAGTCGTATACCCGACGTTTCCGCCGAATCCTTTGTACCATTCGCCCGTTACGCCATAGAATATTTTCGAGACGTATTTAGGCTTGTTTCGGACAGCCGGATATTCATCCCACTATTTTTACTCGATTCCATTACTCCCCTTCACTTTCACTTTTTTTTTTTCACATCGTGTTTAATATCACGTTTTTCGAAGATCAAAATCGAGTTGAGATAATTAGAAGACAATTAGATTAAAAATTAAGCGTAACGTTCAACAATTATCATATTAAATTTCAAATTAAAACTGTTGAAAAGATTAACAGGGAGTCTAGAATTTATCCAGGTATTGTATTATTCAATAGCGTAGTAAGGACAAGTATAATTAACGTACAGAGTCATGTATCTTTACATCACAAATATCTATTCATACTTGCTGGTTGTTAGGTAAAACGAGAAAAAGAGCAGCAAGAGGTAGAAGATTATCCCATAAAAAAGTCCGTCTCTTTGAACGTCGAGCTGTTTGACTTGTCCCCTTCCATCCGAATGCGACTGCCGATCGCTTTGAAGTACACCGACGACATCATGTACATATTCTTCCCTGCCGATAGCCTCCGATGAGAAAAAATTAATTAGTCGGCCAGCTGTGCTCCGTTTAAGTAAACGCGGAGATTAACAGCGAGAGTTTTGCGCTTCCCTCTCTTCCGATCGATTTATTAACAAAGACGAGAAGTAA